ATCAACAAGGATCTTCTTCCTCCCTAGGAAAACCCACATTCAAAGTTTGAGCTCTGTACTCTAAGTATTAAATAGAATGATAATTCTCTCAATGATCAACACAATTGTCTGACCTGGTCCTAAACCCAGATAAATGTTGGTTTGAGGCGTCACTGATGCTCAGCTGAGTGGCCAGTCTCTGTTGTATTTCCATCTCCATAACTTCTTGTTGTCGCTGCTGTTGCTGCGGCTGTAGTTGTTGTTGATGCTGTTGTTGATGCTGCTGCTGCTGTTGTTGTTGTTGTTGTTGTAGAGTCACTCTGTAAACAAATACAAGCAATGTAGTGATATTTAGAACATAACAATTATCACCTTTATATATCTGTCTTAACATTCAACACTGACTTATTATGGTGGTTGGCAAAATGATCAATCAGAGTTTGACAAAAATATAATGTTAAGTGGATTGACCAGCCCCATTACTGGATTTAGACCAGTAGCGGCCATTTCTATTTGGTTAAAAATGTAAAATTTGTGTATTATCTGATTGAAAGATTTCCAAAGATTTTTTCTATACAATAAAATCTGTTATCTGTCCATTGATCATGTTTCAGACATTGTGAAAAACACAGACCATTTCATGGCCACTTTTAAATGGCTAAATGTAGCTTCAAGAATCACAAACTTGACATGATATCACCAGGATTATTAACAAAACTTCTGATGATTAGCATTGTTTATACAAAAGTGAAGGGTTAAAGTATAAATAGAGACCTTAATTAATAAACTGCTTGAAGAACAATCTCTAAATTTGGATAAAGACATTGTTTCAGCAAAGCAAAGCATAATGTTGCAAAAAATCAACAGGAATTGTAACTCGCAATAAGTCGTATATATGCTGTGACCCTGAGGGACTTTCTCAAAAGCCTGTGATTACCTCTCCATGTTGGCCCGTGCCTGTTGCTGCTGACATTGTAGACGCATCTCTTCCTGTTCCTGTCGCAAACGGTCACGCTCGTGTCTAATTTTTTCAGCCTCCTGTGCCAACATTGCCCGATTTCGCTCCATCTCCTCTATCAAATAGATGTGTTTTCCCCCCATGAACATGTCGTAACTCAAAAAAATGAAACGTTAGTTTTGTCTTGTTTTATAAATTCTTTGATCACTAGAAATCAAACACTTATTGAATATATTTTATCTGATTGTCCTACATGTATGTGGACAAAGTAAAGGTTTTTTTTGAGTTGCACAAATAATTCTGGATTTTTAAGGAAAATTATAAAGAAATAAAAATCAAATCTACAGTAGAAGTGCTAGAGAGAAAAAAAAATGGGGGAAAAGACCATTAAAATCTCACTGGTCTAAATTTTGATATTATAAGGAAGAAAACCTTTGGGAACCACATGTTAACATTACCTGTAAATCGCCTCTTCTCCTCCTCCAGGCCACGTTTCTCCTCGTCAATAAAAGCCTTGATTTCCTGCTCCCTTTTACGTTTAGCCCACCAATGTTTGGCACGAAGCTCTTCAAAAGACAGTTCCTCTATGCCCATTAGTAGTTTCTCCTTGCAGTACATGATTCGCTGATATAAGAGAGTAATAAAATGAAAAAAACCTGTCTTAATACATATTTTAAACATAACCTTTTCCAGTTTTCAACTTCCACATTTTAAAGTTTACAGAGTAATTTGTTATTACATTTGCTTGCAATTGGTTGATCATACAATAGACGTAAGTTCACGTCAATGAACAAGGCTAAGTTGTATTCAATGTTCTTATAATTGTGGTTCCAATAATCATGAAAACCATAAAAACATGTATACACTAAGAAAGTTTATAGAATACCGTGCTTTACTTTGTTAATAAGTACAATATTTAACAATATTCAACAAAATATTGAAGAATTTTATTTTTTTACCCTGATGTGTTTATCTTGTTCACTGACATACCTTGTTGCTAAGTACAACATTTATTAGCTACAAATAATGTAGCTCAGATGTAGCTACATGTCAGACTTATAGGACTGTGGTTCAGCGTCGATTTAAAACTCTAGTATTGTAACATCACATGATTATCAGATTAACCAAAGAACAGAACTGAATGTTATCTAGAGTGTACATAAAGCTAAGTAAATTACTAATCTCTTTTATGCAGCATGCAGATAAATACCCATGAAATCATCAACACTATAAATATTAATTGTGCACTACCAGTTTTTTGACTTGGTAGTACAGAATGAAATTGTACTATCTTTTACAGTAAATGTTGAACTCTTCAATAAACTGTCCATACAACGAACCATTCTGATTAAAACCTATGCCCTGACCTTGACCTTGTACCTGTGAGGGAACGCTGGGATTCAGATTTTCGTCATTATGCACTTGGACCTGACTTTGAACTTGTGGAGGCACACTGGGCTTCAAATTCTCGTCATTGTATATTTGAACTTTTGGAGCAAGGTTGGGATTCACATTTTCATCATTACACTTCTGAACTTGATGTTTAGCTTGAGCAGGCTTGTTGGGATTTAAATTTTCGTCATTAAACACCTGAATATGTCCATCTCTAGATGCTGCAAGGAAATGATACTCAAATATAGATGTTCAGAACCATATAAATGATAAGCTTCAAATTCAGTTTGTTCATGACTAAATAAGCATAGTTTTCATTTTACTTATATAACTACAATTTCTCTGCAGCCTTTACTGAAACCATTGCATGATTACCTATGAAAGATACATGTTTTATTAGCAAATGAATATAAAACAAACTGAAAAATCGTAATAGTTGTTCTGGAAATTTCTGCGACAAGACATAAAAAAATGTAATTGTAAGTATGTTATAAAGAAATACATGTTTATATACAAATATGTTTTTTATTGAATCTTTACTTACACACTTTAGAGTATCCAGCCCCAGAGCCAGGTGCTTGGTTTTCCGTTATCCGTCTCCTTTGAAACTCACTATAAAACATCAGTTTACTTTCAATTCTTACAACAGAAAAACCTGTAACTGTGGTATGTTGTAATCAAGATGACCAGTGGCATATCTATAATGATTTAAACAACAAGAGTACCACGGGGCGGAACAAAATACACCC